TTCTGCATAGTCTGACTGTTGTTTGAAAGACAATCAAACGGATATTACAATCACTTTTTGAGACAAAATAAAATATCCGTAGATCAAATGCCAGAATTAGAATTGGATTTCGCTTTAAAAAAATGAGCATGCCACAAGTGTCAATGCAAAGTTGTACACAACTCAATATAAGCAGTCTGTGAATGTGCGTTTGGGTCCACAAAACTAATTTTTCTTTTGGACGTCTCATCCAAGCAAAGGACTTATGCCTTACATTGTTTGTCTGCGAGTGTACTACAAAATGCTTTACTACAGTACGCTTCTGAGAGGCGACTCTGGTAAATTTATAGGACGCTAAAATGCAAAAAATTCTAAGCTAAACAACCCGGCTGGGTCCGATTTTTTAATTACAAAATGTTCACGTTTGCCGGCTCTACTTTAAGTGAACATGGTTTTTGAAATGATTTTGTACTATTTTAACCCAAAAATTATGATTGGGTTATAAAGCTTTTAAAACGAACGAAAACTAAGCTCATAAACATGTTCAATGTAAAAAACTAAGATACAGTCGCTTTTTCAACTTTGCTTTGTGGGCCGAAAAATTTACCTTTACGCAAAAACAAAAGCAGACAATGAGGCTTCTATTTCTGAGAATTTTATTTGATCAATTTAATGTCACTAGCATTGTTGTCGTATAATTATATAAGCTTTTAATTTAATAATTTTGATGCTTTATAAACTTCTCATTTGAAAGCTTCACTTTTTTTATACATCGATTGAGAAACAAATTTGCCCTCGTTAAATCCTATTTTATGACCAGTTTATTAGAACTCTAGGTAACATGTGAAATGATGTAACAGGACAGGCTTTAACCTTTGGTCCTAACGTATTTTTTCTTCACAACCCCTGATCATGTCAGTTGAAGGGCCATGAGAGAATATCGCCACAAAGATGCGAAAAATGTTTCGCTGAGTTTCCTTTACATATTCTGGCTTTATATGGGTCTACACCTTACCTGCTTAAAAATGAAACTGTTGTTCAAGTGTCAGTCAAACTCGGCATAATCTTGACTTGCAAACCCAAATGCAAAGGTTTATTTCGCCGTAGAAAAGCGTCGAACGACACAATGTAAATTGGCTAATGTGAAAACACGTTTCTTTCACTTTATTTACTATGCATTTATCTCAATTGCACACTCTTGTGAAATTAGTCTCAGACAATATAGTTGCGACCTTTGACAGACTCAACAAGCCAGTATGAAAATATGTTAAGAAAAGCTGAGGTCTACATGTTCTATTTCTTTTTTTCATATTGCCTTGCATTTGTTAACATTCCATTTCTTTTTTGCTACAGGTACCTTCCAGACATGACGAGGAGATAATTACTTGCCTAGAGAGCAATTCTTTGATACTGTCTGTCAGTTATTACTGACTTACTTTGAGTTAAAAACAAAGAACACAGACACTGGTAATGAAACATAAACAATAATTCCTGGCAAGCTTACAAAACAAGAAAGAGGAACTCAGACTCCTTATCAAAACGTGAAACAAGATAAAAACAGCTTTTTTAACGTAGGGAAAATTGCGTTAGAGAGAGTTGTAATTGCAACGTTATATTCAAGCATCATAATTTGCTAAATAATGGACAGTGATTTGGTAGCTTAGGTCAGTTTGTAATGAACTTTGAAAGATATTCTATAACCTTGTATTTTTAAAAGCTTTCATGGAACATAGATGCATTTTATTATACAATGAAAATAGCCTCTGTCTTTATTTTTACTGATTTCAGTCAATTCCATTTTATTCGCAATGTGAAAAGCGAATCCAATTAAAGACTCATTAAAAGGGGTGAGGACTTTTTACAATCCCCAATAGGTCATCTGCACGATGAGGCTGTTTTATTACTACGGCAGAATCCTTCAGAGTTTTACTTTCTTGTGAAAATTAGAGCTTTTGTTATTTAAACTTCGCTGGGAGAACCAAATATATAAAAATGAAAGGAATAGAAATGGCGTCATCGTGTACTCAGTAAATGACCTATAAACCGTACGTCATGAAAAGTTAAGCACAGTGATTTGTTTAGTTTTTTTTAGCCAACCTGTGCGTTTAGAGCATGCCCGGCATGACCCAGATTATGGCATGCCGGGCATGCCAAAAAATTTGGCACGTCCAGCATGCCGGAGATTTTGGCACGCTGGGCATGAATTACTTATTACTATAACCTAGGCTTCTCGCGGCGTGGGTGAGAAGGTCACGGAACCTCAAATTATTCTTACAGGGCATGCGAAATTCTGTTGCATGCCAATTTCAATGTAAAACCACTCTGGGGCCACCTCCTCTTCTACCAGTGAGCAAATCATTGACGATAGGCATGGGAAAAATCCTTGCATGCTAACCAACATTGAAAACGTAGCAGGAATGTCCTCAGTTGCTGAGACATGCCCTAGGGGAGGCTTTAAAGTACAGAATTTCCTGACATGGATGAGGGAATTTTCCGTAAACAGCAAGTGATCATGCCGACTAGGACGTATTTCCTCCGTATTGCCCCTTTTTACAGCTAGCTAGGTTCATTTTTATGCCCCATGGCCTGAAATGACGAAAAATTCATGCCTTAAATGTAAAAAGTCCAAAAAAGTCCTCGAAATTCTAGTTTCCAAGCCGTTCATCATTCCATATATTGAACACTGTTTCCTCCAAGTTTTCCCACGTGTAACCCGCAAAGCACAAAACTTGACAACATTTCAGGGTTTATTATGACACTGAAGCTGAAACTTGACATGCCTTTCAAAGATTTATCTTATCATTTCAATGTGTCACTGCCGACAGTATCAAGAATATTTACTGCATGGGTGGTTGCTTTTGATGTCAGGGTGTCCCTAGTCATTAGGTGGCCGGACCGACGCGTGAAAAACGCAGTGCGCATGCGTGCCTTCCCTGCTTCCGGCGCGAATTTGCCAGTGCCTCCCCCCCGAATCGAAATTATACGCGATACCAAAACAAACTAGATTCCGGCCGCGAAATTAAAAAAAGGAAGCTCCACACACAAAAGATAAGCTTAGAATTTCACGAACACAAAGTTTATTAATTGCTTTAGTTTTTCTCTTTTGCACCACATACTTTCCTCCTTGCACCAAAGGCGAAAATCATGTTTGAAAATCCACGCTCGCTGTGGCAGCACTTCGCCGAAGCCATTGTTGCTGTTTTGGTCATCATGTCGCTGAGCTCGGTCAATGCGAACAACGAAAACGACCAATGCATGCTAAGTGGAAAAACAAGGACGGAAAAACCTTGTACTGGACGACTTTACCAGCTGTCTGAAGCTCTCAGCCGTGTTGCTGGTTTGCCGGTAAACTCCCATGTTTGCCGGCGACATTGGGATGAGTTGCGAAGAAAGGACGTGCGCTGCTCCTGTCCAACACACGACAGAAAAACCCCTTCTCACCTGGATTCAAAGCCAATTGCTCACAGATTTTACCCAATATTTGACGAGATTGGCTCTCGAACGACAGCATATCGCCCGGGCACACGGTGGTGTTATCACTGCAAAGCACGAGCTAATAAACAGTTCTCGAGTCATCCTGAGTTTACTGTCAAACCACGAAAAAAGCCAGTCGAGGTAAGTTAGTTTAAGTAATTTTTTGTTGTGCTTAATACTAGAACCGGCTGCAAACCATTAAACATATCAAACATTCCTAAGTGTTTTTCAATTTAAATGGGGAAGATTTTGCAAATTTTAATTATTTTATGTCCATTAAGTTCAGGAAAAACCAAACACTGGCAGCGTTAGTTCTACTAGTTCGCAGAATCAACTGCAAAAGGTTTGTTTATATTTTGATTATTGAATATCATTTAAAAAATTAGTGTATAATAAAATTTAAATACTTTACCAAATAATACAAAATCCGTTCTAGAGCAATAATTACGGTGGCCCAGAAGGGTCACACATGCAAATTAAAAATGTTGCTGCAAACTAAAAATTTAACCTGCAAATCAAAAAAAGTACATGCAAATTAAAAATTGTATATGCAAACTAAAAATTGTACATGCAAACTAAAAATATTAAAACATGAAACATGAATGGTCCGACTGCTGTAAGGCCAGGTCACACGGCTCGGACCAGGTCGTCATCACTCATACTGTGCGCGCAGGACTTTTCATTTTTAATTTGCAGCACAATTTCTAGTTTGCATGTCCTCTGAAGAGAGTGATGTGGAGGGCAAGTTCCTGGTCAAAGAGCTTGCCTGGGAGAGTAGAAAACTCGAGAAAAGAAACCAGCAGTTGGATAAATTTTATAATGAACAACACAGCAAGCGCACAAGGGAGCGCCTTGTGAAGAGAGTTCCCGGTGAGGTACTCTCAGCACAGCAAAAGCCGGTTGATTGCCCAGATTGGGCATGTATAAACGCAAATAATAGTTCCTCTATTAGTACTCAGGGTCGAGCTCTAGCAGAGTTCAGTGGCCCCTGGCACCCAACGTTGGCTCTAGGGGACCTAGATAATCTGAAGTCACATGAGTTTACACGTTGAGAGCATTAGGCTCCCCTCAATTTGCCTTAGAGCTCAGCCCTGAGTATACTTCGCTGTCACTCTGACCCCCCATAGGTTAGGTTTTTGTGACCTCAAAGAAAACAAACTGGTGCTAATTGAAAATAGTGCAAAATTTTATCTGGGACAAACAGGAATCGTGAAATTTCCTTCCTACATCTTTAAGTTACATCCTGAACATTTAAGTCAAAGATAAGACCTTCAAGGATATTTTAAGGCATCATTAAGTATAACTTAAAGATTCTTATAGAAATATTTTGGTGATCTTTACTATGGAACTTAAAGACCACTTAAATGTTTCATTACTGTCTTTAAGTGAGTGCCGTAAAGAATAAGGAAAGAAACTTTTACAACTTTTAATCTTAACTTAAAGATAAAAGAAAAAATTCTTTACAGCATCATTAAGATACCTTTAATGAACATTAAAGATTTCATTTCATCCTGTGTACGAAATTACTCATAGAGAAAGAAACAGGAATGGTGGCGGTGTATGCTTTTACATTAAAACTTCTATCAACTTCAATACGCCATGACTTGAACCTGAATGATCTTGAGAATTTATGTTTAGAAATTCAAAATCATGCTCTAAGCCATTCCTTGTAGTAACTTGGTATAGGCCACCTTGCTCTTCAGCTGAACTTTTCTCACACTATGAGACCCTTATAAGAAAATTAGACTCTCTCGATCTTGAATATTATCTGATGGGTGACTTGAATTGCAGTATGGCCGCCCATTTCGACTCTAATACATGTTTACTTTATGAAATTTCTGATATATATGGGCTACAGCAGCTTATAACAGAACCAACTCGTATTACTGAGTCATCATCGTCTTTAATTAATGTAATATTTACAACCTGTATTAACAGGGTAGTCTGTTCAAGAGTTTTGCATATTGGCATTTGTGATCACAGCCTCATTTCTGTTTGTCATAAACTATCTCCAGAGTTTGCTTTCAAAGGGCATTCAACTAAAACTTATAGAAATTTTAGTAATTTCAATCGAGAAAATTTTCGCAGGGATATTTCTTGACAGGATTCGTGTTGTACCAGTGATGACCCAAACATTTTGTGCGCTGACTTGAAAGCTAAATTTTTGTCTACTGTGAACAGTCATGCTCCAATAAAAACTAAATATGTTAGGTCAGGCAAGATAACTTGGATCACATCAGAACTGCGGAAGGGTATGCGCAATCGCAATGTTGCTAAACAGAAAGCTATTAAGTCTACCAATCCTCAAGACTGGGCTATGTACAAAAGGCTACAGAAAAGGATCAATGGAGAAGTCAAATCTACCAAGGCATCCTATTATGCTAGTGCGTTTATTCAGTCTAATGGCGATTCACGTAAAACCTGGCAATTGATTAACCAACTCACGTCCCGTAAGAAAAATAACGCGTCTGTGAAAGAATTAAAACTAAACGGGAACTCAATAACCAATTCTCACGAGCTTTCCAATGCATTTAATGATCACTTTTCAGCAAATGGAACCAAACTAGCTAATGAGGTACCCCTTGTTACCGACGGTTCAAGTTATGCCGATTACATTGTTAGCAGCAACAACAAATTCATTTTCAGTCCAATTAGTAGTAGTAATGTCTTTTCTCTTTTAAATAAATTATCTAAATCCAAAGCATTGCGTACATTATTAGAAGAAATTAACGTAATGCTTCATGAAATTAACGTGCATTTTAAAAAGTTGTTCTCGGATGATCAAGTAACAATGAACCACTATCAGCAGTAACATACCGTTACTTTCCAAAATCCAGCTGCCTAATAGCTATAATTTTCATATGCTGGAAAAGAAGACATTATGATAAATCGACCTTGTCCTCTTTCAGTGATTGTGCATACCAGTGCAAACATCTTCCAGATCACTGGTCGAAGAAGGCAAGCATTCTCAAACTCGGTGTTTTGAATAACTGAAAAAGAGATGACACAGTTTTTGCTCCGATAATCAAAGAATTGGTAAGAAGTTATCCAGTCAATCGACAGAGTAAGAAAACCAAGTTGTGAACTAAAAGTAAAAAAGCACAATAAAATAGGCAAAATGCATTGTGCACACCCGTAAGTACACTTTAGTGTATTCATATTCTATTGACCTCATTTGTTTTTGTCTTTTTAGGTGAAACGCTCCCTTGCAAATAATGGAAGACCAAAGGGAAAGCCACAGTATTATCTCCCAACTTGACACAAAGGGTTTTTTTTCACCGAGTTATAATTGGGAAGATGTGGAACCTGACCCAAATGTTTACTGTGATTTTCCAACGTGCACGAGAAGAGATACAAGACCTGTCATGACATTGACCTGCTTCCACTGTTTTCATTAATCTTGCATTTCATCGCGTGATTGTTGCCCAATCTGTCTGGTTTCATTGAGGAAAAAGGTGGAAAAACTGGTTAACACATTCAACACTGGACTTCTAATTTCTAACAATACTGCTGCTTTCGAAAGTAATGAAGACATTCACAAAGAAGAAAGAATTAATACACAAACAGCCATGAGTGTGACAGAGGCTCAGGCATTGTCGGATCCCCTAATGATAACTCACAGGGGATCCCCTAACGATAACTCACGGGGTACGTCAGGGGTCCATATTAGGCTAGATGCTGTTTACACTCTATATGAATGACCTTCCTACTGTAACTAAGTTTAGTAACATCGAATCCTATGTAGATGACTCTAAGATTTACCTATCGTGTGCGTCTAAACATATCCACTCTTGTATGCAACAAGTCTCTTGGAAGGAAGGAACTTGAAAATATTGCCGGTTGGTGTTGCGCAAATAACCTGCTTATAAACCCGGAGAAAACTAAACTTGTGCTCTTTGGAACACGGCAACTTGTATTAAAGCTACCTGATGTCACTGTATCCTTCCTTGGACAACAGCTATGCCCCGTCTTGTCTGCCAAAGATCTGGGTGTTACCCTGGACTCTGGCTTAACATTCAATAATCACATCTCATCATTATCGTCATCCTTGCTATCTAGTTTGTGTCAAATAAGTAGGGTCCACCACCTGTTTTCCAAAGAAGTTTTGTATATAACGATCAACTCTGTTGTGTTTAGTAAATTATTTTACCGTTCTGCTGTATGGGCTGGTACCGATAAAAAGAACATCTATAAACTACAACTCATGCAGAACTTTGCTGCCCGTATACTAACTGACACAGGGAAATACGATCATATTACCCCGGCCCTGAAAGCTCTTGGCTGGCAGACTATAGAGGAGCAACTTTGGTTGCGGGACGTGACAATGATGTACAAATATGTTAACGATTAGTGCCAGCATATATTAGCTGTAAAATAGGGAAGCGATCCAGTGCGTACACTTACAATCTCCGCAACAGTGAAGATCTAAACCTGCCAGGATGCCAGACAGCGGCTGCCCAGAGTGGCTTCTTTTATAGGGCAGCAAAAGCGTGAAATAGTCTCAGTAACAACACTAGAACTGCCCGATCATTAAGATCATTTAAAAAGCATGCAAAGGCAGAATTAATGAAGAAATACGATACCGGTATACATACCATAGTATATTATTACTTTGTTAGTTATTATTAGAAGTAGTAATTTTAAGTTGTTATTTATATATCAAGAACATGTATATCATTAGTCTTAGTTGTATTATATATACATATTGTAAATTAATTCTCAAAAGCCCCTCGGGGAGAATTAATAAAGGTATTGTATTGTATTTTATTCCTCAGCAGAATGGGCCGTGAAGGTTGACAGCAGAGTGAATAGTTATGTAGCAATCCCTCCTCCATCCCATCCAAACCAGAATCACTCTTCAGCTCAACCAATGGTACACGAATCCGACTCAACCTCATCTCGAGTTCTCACACCCATTACCATCCAACCCTATCATGATCGTAATGTAACCTACTGGTCTTTTCCACATATCAATCTACAATCCTTGGAAGAACTGGAAGTAATGCATGCACATTTCTTGCCCTTTTGTTTAGCAAAATGTTTTTACACCTAACGTCAACATTCCAGCAACTGGGAGTCCACTAAGCCAGGCATGGGTCTATCAGATGGTTGTGCAAGGCATTTTGGCTGTGAGGTCTATCTATGACTCAGTAACGAGTATACCTCTAACATTTGGTGCGTTGGAGGCACTTCAAACCCCTACGGTTTTGAATATCACTGGAAATACTACTGTGGGACCTGAACTGCCTGTTACAATTGTCCCTGAGACGAATCCCACAGCTTCTTTGCCTTACTACTGGAGACAGGCTCTAGCCAAGGGGCGAACAATATCAGTATTTATTTTACATTCCAACACAGTTCTCTTTATTCTAACAACACAGGGAATTTTTTTTAGACAGTCATTGTCATGGGAACAGTGGGGCCCAAGTTGCCTTTGTAGACTGGCAGCTTTCATTTGAACTTCTCTCTTGGTTAAAGAGAATTAATGGCTTTCAATACAAACTTGGAACTGTCACCAACATCTGGTGCCCGATATATTTGTACCATTTCAATATACAAGCGTTTGACGCCGTCACAACCGTCGCAACAGAGGGGTAGACTGGACTTGAGCTGATTTCTTACCCATGATACACTGACGCACAAGGTAATTCTGACTCAACGAGAAAGGCAAAACGTCAGAAGAGTTCACTGCCTTTTTCTATTGAAATTTTAAGGGAAGAGGCCTTTGCCGGAGGAAGAAATGAATTAATTGGATCGAAAATTCTAACCAATATCTCCTCGATTAATCTTGATCAAGCAGAGAATGTATCTGAAGACGTTGTGCTTTGTGCACTAATCGTGAAATTTGGTATAACTCTCATATTTGCCATTGCTGGTGTTGCTTCGTCTCTCCGGGTGTTGCCAGATCTCTTTCACAAGGAAGTTCTAAAAGTCCTTTTTCCAAATGTGGATGTGGCTGACCTCTGTTGCCTCTACAAGTGTGTACAAAAGCTGTAAAAGCTCCCGTGTTTCAATGATCTTGATCATCCACCCCACGTATTCTCTCCTCCCTGTGATAGATGTTTACGCCGCCAGTCACAGTTGCAAGGCTACAATAGACCTAGACTGCGAGCAGTCTCTTATTTTCTTCAAAGTCGATGGGGTAGGACATGCGAGCCGCAAGAAACGAGGGCGTAAGCCTGAGACGGAAGAAAAATAAGAGACTGTTGACTCTTTTGATCTGTCTGGGGATATTGAAGCTGCCATGCTAATCCAATTAACTAATTAATACCAACTCTACTTTCACGGGAGTAACTTGAGCTAATGTAAAAATAGACCATTGCATGAGAGACGTGCGTACTTTTTTACCTTATATAAACTAAAATTTTGTACATGTCCTTCTTGCGAAATGCTTATCTTTCCAAATACAGCATGGCTAGTTCCACCGAGTTACGCAAAGAGAATCCATTCTTTGATGGCTGCTTCGAAAGAAACACCTAAGAAGCTTGCTTTTGCAAGCAATAGTAACAAAGAATCATTTCGAGGCAATTCATGTCGTCTTTGCAAGTGTGATTTAAAATACAAGTTGGTAATACTACACGGCACATATCTACTGAAAATCTTTTTAATACCCCTGGCAAGAAAGGTGTTGAAAAAAGGGCTTTGGATAAGCTTATTCACGAAGACTTGGGTGTTACCGTCATCAAAACTCCGGAATACTCGTGCAGAGTTGCTCCAAATGTGCCTTGAAAATACGAAATGACGTCGAGCGATTATGTTTCGTGAAGGAAAATATAAACCCCCGACAACCAATAGCGATTGCCGCTCAAGAAGAAGATCTGAATATCGGAGAAACCAAAGAGCAACAACGCTGGAAGAGAATGTCGAAATCTCCGTCCCCTGCTGAGAAGGCAAAATCAGCCAAGATTCCTTGCACTGAACAGCAACTAACTCTTGAACTGAAACGAGGTTTTAGGGTTAGAAAATCTTTCTCATTCGGTCAAGAACCAGTTGATTTAAATAGCGATTCTCAGAAGGAGGCGGCAAGATTGCGTAGCATGGAAATTCATAACAGTAGTCAGGAATTTGAAGACTGAAGCCCTTGCGAAGTAAAAGTAATTTATGACAATGCAGATGGCAAAACGTTTGTGTGAACCCCGAATGATAAAATCACGCGAAGCTTGATTAAAAACATTCTTTTACAAAAGTGGAAAAACGCAGCGTACATTGTTTTCAAACACCCAGATATGGAGCCGTGTCTTGTCCTCCAAAGTGCCTAGCGAGTTTAACTATTACTGCCAAGGCACAAACTCGATTCTTAAAGGCACTTCACCCAAAGAACTCACAGCGTACTCGAATCGCTTTGTCACACAAGAAGTGAAGGTGATATGTCCCTTTTGGCACGCTAGCGTGGTCGGGGCCTGTGGGGTACACAAGTCAGAAGAGAAAGAGATGAAAGCAAGCAATGCGATTGCTCTGGCGACATCAGCAACTTCCAGGACGCGAAACCAAAGAATGTCTGCTCTCGCGAGTTGTATTTCCGTAATTCTTCTTCTCAGTGGTGCGAAAACCCAAGACTTCACCCGACTGAATAAATTGGGGGTTTCTATGTCGCACAGGCAGAGTATTCGTCTTCAAACAGCTATGGGACATAACTTCAATGGCAAAGTGCTGCAATGGAAAAAGAATCGAGAGGAAGTTTTGGGTGCTATGAATCCTTGTCATGAAGTTATGTCCAAGCAAATCCCCGTGTTCCCAGAAGATGCCATGGAGTTGGAGATATGGTGTGACTTGTCTGAAGATACCCTCAAATTGTATGAGTTCTTCACACCAGGCGCATACAGCCTACTCATGGAAGTGAGAACCTTCAAAGCTAATGATGATGATGACAGCTGTGTACCAGATTCCACAATCCAGGGGGTGCTGTCAAAGCTAGAGGGCCGAAAAGTTCCAAGGTATAGGTAAGGCACAACATTAATAATTTTTCAATTTATTCATGTCTATATATAAACCAATGTCAATACTGTTTTTGGCACTTCAGTCTTAAACCTTAAATTTTACATTTACTACATGTAGTTTAGGAGAAAAAGTGGAAATTAAGGTTTTACACCGGGTGGTGTATGGGGTTACTACAACAAGGAACTGGGTCAGAAGTTAGCCTATTTAACTTTACAAAAGTCTCCCTGAACAGTGTTATTGCTTTATCAACCTTGACAAGTGGGTTTTGACTTTCTTCAGTTTTTTGGAATGGAAATTACATATCTCCAACACATTTTCAGAAATAATCTACAACTTGCTACTTAACTAAGCCACCCTCCTTCAGAAAATTTTGCCATTGCTCATAATATGAGACTTAATCCAACCAAGTGTAAAGAAATGCATATTAATTTCCTACGCAACTCTAATTGTCTCATTAACCAAATAATAATTGGTGGCAAAGTCATCAAGCGTGTCAATACCTATAAGATCTTGGGAGTTATTATGGACAATGACCTGAAGTGGAACTGCCATGTTGATTACATTATTAAGAAAGCTTGTAAGAAGTTATACTCCCTTAGAGTTCTCCGCAGAGCCAGGGTGAGCCAACCCAACATCTTGAGAATATACCTTAGCACAGTCCGGCCAGTTTTAGAGTATGCTGTACCAGTCTGGCAGAACATCCCTGCTTAACTGTCCGAAGCCATAGAGCGAGTGCAAAAAAGGACGCTTAACATAATCTATCCCGAGGCAGAGTCATATGCTCATGCCTTACATTTAGGTAAACTAGATAGGTTAGATGATAGAAGAGCACTCTTGCGCTACAAATATATGGCGAAAATGAAGTCCCCCAGCCACTCTCTGCACCACCTACTTCCCAGCCCACTTCTGGACGCGCCTAACTAGACCTTAAGGCAGAAAACACAAAAGTGTTATCTTTTCCGGAACATGCAGGTCTGTAGAACAAAGAGAGTGGAGGACTTCTTTACATTAAATTTTTTAAGTGTTATTGTCAGAAAAAACCGGGCAATAGCAAAAGATCGAGGTCGGCCGTTTACCTTCGTGTTTTCACAGTATGAAAGCTATTTGAAAAGATTAACAACCATGGCATTTGGAGAAGTAGCCGTTCGATTGTCTTCGAGATATCACTATTTCGAGATTTTGGGACCTCCGGCGACCTAAAAAAGCACAAATTTTGGCTAACTTTGGGTGAAGTTAAAACATACTTGGCCAAACTCCCAATAGTTCTTATATTTTTTCCATAACACCTATCGCTTCGTTAGTCGACTGGAATATGTTAAACTTCCTTTGCTTAAATACTCTATTTTTTACCTGGTGCTAAAAATCGCTCCTGAATCGTTAATGAGCGTCACCCAAATTTCAGTCATTTTCAGTTGACTGTTTTACCGAGATGCGGCAGTTTATTTCAAAAGTAAAATCATTTCTAGATGGCTTATTGTGCTGTTATCAAAATCCAGTTTGTTTAAAATTGGTATCTAGCAGCAAATTGGAGAAAATGGCATGCGAAGTACAATAATAAGCGACAAGTATTAATATTTCCCGCCAAATTTTATAGCGCCACGTTTCGTTTTACTGTGATTGTGGTTCGTAAATGTCTTAAAATAGATTTTTACGACTTAAGAAGAGATAATTGAAAACTTTTATATCCCTAATTACAAGGAAAAACATTATAAATCACCGTATTGATAATAATCTTTTTAATAAGCAAGCGAAATCGTCAAAAAACGAAGCCCATTTTTCCCGCGAAAGTTTTAATTTATTTGTCACGCAGTACAATAAAGCCGGACTGTATTCTCAGTTCTGTGCTTTTGACGTTGGCCAGAAAACAAACTTAAATCAAATAATACCAAGAAAATTCAGAATTATCCTAATTAAATTACTTCATAGAGACACCCTGTTTCCATCGAACGCTAGAGTTGTCAAGAATTTAATGATCGGACATCACGACAGGTCGAAAACAGATCAAAAGATGAATTGTTCATTCAGATCGGAGGAATCGCCATGTGGCTTGCGTGGAGTTGGTACGGTTATTCTGCCGTTACTTGCCTGCAAAAGAGATATTACCTTTCATCTTCTTGGTCTGAAAATCAGCGTAAAACGTGGTAGAGGAAGCACCGAGGTCAGCGAATGGGGAAAATCATACTTAAGCCCCGCTAAAATATTTTTTCTTACCTTGAACTCTAATTTTACTGACAACATAAACTTTGCGTGCAAAGCTAATTGAAAGTACAAACAAACGTTTTGCTTCTAAGTTGTCGCAACACCTGTTGTAGTAATCTGTGCCAGAAGAGCCTTTTCATGACAACCAAAAAGTAAACTAAATTAGTATTGACAGTCTCTTTTTCTTTTGCAACTGTTTTTGATGAAAATCCGGGGGTTCGTAAAAACGAAAGTGAACGAACGCAAAGGGCAAACATAATTAGATTACAGTTTCTTCACAGCTGACACTCTTTTTATTTATATATTCACAAATGAGGCATAACAGAAAAAAGGATATGAAAAAAAAAATACAGCAAGTTGTTCAACAGGATAAAAAAGTATTAACCCAGGATAAATTAGTATTACAGTTTTACAGAAATTAACAAAAGGTTTATTTGTTATATACTGAAATATGGCCTTAGAAATGGTAATAAAATCAATTACCGTGAAGTAAACGCAAAAAAGTTACAACAGAGAAATAGTCTAGTCGGAAGGCAGGGTACCCATGCACCCCTAGGATATATTTTTCTAACTTACATTTTTGTAATCCTCAAGATGTCTTGAAAAAGAAATTCTATGTTCCCATCGCGAAATATTGTCCCAAGTCCTTTTTTTCGTGCTTTTTGTGGCGGCCATCTTGGCAGCCATCTTGGTTTTCTAATGAAACTTAATTGCGGACAATTAGTTTATCAAAAGAGGCAAATAAATAACTTTTATTTGCGTATACTTTTACTATAAAGAATACCTTTAAAGTATATACGTCCTTTTTTTGACAAATTAAATAAATTTGAAGTAAACAGTGAAAACAAATTATGATTTACGCTCAGAATAAAGAATAAAACTTAACATTATATTCAACTCAGTTTTTTATGATTACCTCTATTAATTTTTCCATTTTAAAAAAGGGCAACCACAGATTAAAAAGAATCTTATAAAGTCCAGAATTGGATCAAAGCGAAAATACTATTAAATAAGTCACCCTATTGCCTTCTTAAATCAGACTATGCTTCTAGTACTACAATCCTAATGTGAAACAGGCCAAACAGCACATGAACTTCTATTAACTGGGCCACTGTTTAATTTACAACCTCATTTGAAATGGTTATGCAGGGCATTTTTACGTATCGCTACTTCTTCTTTTCACTTTAACTTTTATTCTACACGCCTGTATATAAAACCGAAAAAAAATATATGTGAAAATTTGGATAGTTTGTACTTAAACTGCGATTTCATTTTGATACTAATTAAAAATGCGTTAAGTCATATTTTCATATTCTTTTAAGAAAGATTTGAACTATGTTTTGCACTTTTAAGAGTCTAAAAAAAAAATCACTGTTAGAATTTTAAGAGATGAAACGCAAAGGTAATAACGCTAATAGGCAAGACTTTCTTCACAAGCGGCCTGCTCTTCGCCGTATTTTACATGCGAGTGGCATTCATAATGGCGATTTCACAGCACTCAGTAATGTCAAGGGATCTGCTACTGAGAAGCTTTCCCAATTACATGAAGTTCGTGACAGGCGAGTTATGGAACCTCATGATTCACCGAATCGCATGGAAGATGTTTGTTTGCAGATTCCAGAGAATCTCGAGGGTGCAAATTTAGAAGCAATCTGCTATCACCTGTTACCAAAGGTTTACTAAAAACCAGGACAAGTTGAAGTCCAGTGTGACACCTAATAGTGAAGCCACAACAACAACACGTTCCCCTCGTAAATCATCATCCTCACCTGCTCCGCAGCTGTTTCCTCCAAATGCATTTTCTGTGAAAAGCTTGAACTGAAATTGTATGGAAAAACAGAGCAATGCATCAAGTTCCCAGTGTTCAAGAACAAAGACGGAGCTCTAAAGGAGCCTACTGGGAAACAGATTGAGCCTCGAGCCCTCGAGCTTGGCAATAGTCATCTTCATCGCAAAGTACAAGGGGAAGATTTGTTTGCACGAGAGGCCCAGTTTCACCCGTCCTGTCGCAGTTTATTTAACTTGAGGTATTTAAATCATCTGCGTGATACAGCCCGAGCCACAAAAGACGTGAAAAAACCGAAACAGATCAGAAGGCATCTGCACATCTGAAGGCATTCACTGCCGTGCTTGATTTTATTTAAGATTCCGTTATTGAGCAGAGAAAAGTTCTGTTGCTTTCTTCTCTACGTCTTCTCTACGTCCAAGAGTTGGAGAAAAATGTGTCCATATGAAGTAACTTAATCAGGATAAGTCTTCATTTTGATGGCATTGTTTGATTTAAGTTTGTTTTCTGGCGACCGTCTGAAAACTGAGAATAAAGTCTGGCTTTACTCTATTGCGTGACAAATAAATTAAAACTTTCGCGGGAAAAATGGGCTTCGTGCTTTTGACATTTTTAGTTGTTTATTCAGGAGATTGTTATCAAAACGGAGATTTACAATGTTTATCCTTGTCAATAGTGATATAAAAGTTTTCAATTATCTTTTTAGTGAAGTCATGAAAGTATAGTTTAAGATATCTACGAGCCACAATCACAGTAAAACGAAATGTGGCGCTATAAAATTTGGCGGGAAATATTAATACTTGACGCTTATTATTGTACCTTCGCATGCCATTTTTTCCAATTTGCTGCTACATACCAATTTTAAACAAACTGGATTTTGATAACAGCACAATAAGCCATCTAGAAATGATTTTACTTTTGAAATAAACTGCCGCAGACCTTTTGGGAGTTTGACCAAGTATGTTTTAACTTCACCCAAATTTGGCCAAAATTTGTGCTTTTTTAGGTCGCCGGAGGTCCCAAAATCTCGAAATAGTGATATCTCGAAGAAAATCAAACGGCTACTTCCCCAAATGTCACGGTTGTTCATCTTTTCAGATAGCTTTCATACTGTGAAAACATGAAGGTAAACGGCCGACCTCGATCTTTTGCTATTGCCCGGTTTTTTCTGACAATAACACTTAAGTGATTCAATTGTTATTTTCATTGTTATAACTGTAAATTACTATACTCTAGATAATAGTTGCCTTAAGATTGTAAAATGTACTCGATAATTCAGTTCTTCTTACTGCAAGAGAGTTTTAATAAACTATTCATATAATGAAAATGATCTTCAAATGTTATTGTTTTAAAAAAATTTGTTTTAAATATTCAAACAGTTGTGTCCACTCTATTTCCAGAATTGTGGATGACAGTGTTGATCTCTCTCTGACGGCAAGGATCCAGATACCGACTCATTCCAATCAGTCAATACACTGGACCTATCAGTACACAATCTTGGATAGAGTCACCAACAATCTTGATGTCTCGAAGCCAAGGGCACTATTAACTGAGCTTCAGCTAAGCACCGTTCTACCCATGCTTGAGGTACAGAATGCAATCAAGGAGGATTGTGTTTTACTGGTATCATGGATCATCACAACTTACCTCAAAGCTTTTCAGCATTTACGAAGAGTGGTGGTGTATCACATTCCTCATCATCACAGTGATAAAATGGCACAAAAGTCACAGATTGTAAGTATGATTGATTTCTTTGCAAATAAAAAATACAAACACAAATACAAATACAAACTATTTAATTAGATTAATTTTTATTTTTGTTTATCAGTCCTTCATTCTTACAGTAACGAAGGCGAAAAAAACACTATATAACTGTCAAGATAATCAGTTTACATAACCTTGAGCTATCTACCACTTAATCCCGTTAAAGGGGTGGGGGTCTGGTACTTCTGGAGCATAAATCTTTTCATTTGATGTCATTATTATGTGCGAGATATTAAAGAAGGTTCATAGTTAAAGTGTCATGTTTTATTTTTTTTAGTGTCCACTTGACGTTGAGGTGCGCAACTCCAACATTTCAGGGGAGATGGCTCAGTTAATGATCAAGAATCAGACAAAGTATGTGCCATCTCTAAAATCCCACAAAACTAGCCCAGTCCAAATCTTAGAAAGGATATTTTTTGATGGAGACGCTTTGACTGACGAGAGGTCCAGAAACATTCAGTGGGTGTTTAAAGATGGTGATGAACCATTTGACCGACTTGAAGGACTAGATCCTGTTCATGCAGACTGGCATGCAAAAGCCAAACTGTAGGAAGTAAGTTTTCAATGACAAAATCAAAAGAC